CAAAAAAAAAGCCGATTTTTTAAAATTTCATTATTTTTTGACGAGTGCCTAATTTCACAACGATGCCTCACATATGACCTTATGCAGTTGTGAGCACCGTATAATTCTTATTCTTAACCTCCCACCCCCTCCCCCTGCTCCCCCTCCTTCACAGTGACGTGGTCTACCTTCTGCGGTTGACAGCCAACTGGGGCCGGTGTCTGCCTTAGGGACTTCTGCCAGGATGACGCAATACACGCCTTTCCTGGACAATGTGACGTCACACGAGAGCCTGGTCATTACGTCATACCATCAGAACGAGAGTGACATCAGATGGTGCCTGCAGAAACCGACGGAGGAGGGGGACAAGTCGCACAAACATTTTTACGAAATGGCGCAGGTATGTTAGATTTAACGTAGTGGGTGATTCGTTGGTGGGTGCTCTCGTGTGGTTTGTTCCTTCTTTCCTATCAAACATCTATTATCCTGGTCTCTCCTCCTCCTTTTTTCTGGTGTTTGTTACTCTCTTGTTACACCTCTAATCTTTGGCACTTATATGACCTTTTGTGTTGCAAGTGCTGTAAAACTCATATTAAAACTAAAAGATTTGACTTCATGACTGTTGTTGTTGTGTTATGGTTCTTTCTTCTCCCACTGCTCTTAACACTTTGAGGCGACAGAAAGAACAATAACAGCAAAAGCAATAGCAGTAACATAAACCAAAAACAGCTACAACAACTATTATATCAACAGCAGCAGTAACAACAGCAGCAACAGCAGCAGCAACAGCCGCAGCAACAGCCACAGCTATGGCAACGAAAACAACGACAACAAATATAATGACATCCTCAAACAAAAACAACGCAACAACAACGACACTGACAACAACATGAAATACAACAACAACAACAACAACTACTACAACAACAACAATAACAACAACAACAATAACAATAGCAACAACAACAGCAGAAACAACCTCAACAAGTACAACAACAATCTCCCCCCACCAGGTTGTTGTTACTGACTGAAGTTGTCTTTAGGCCATTCCCAAGGGAGATATATTAACATGTTCTTCTTATACACAGTAGAATTGTAAATGGACTGACTTATCAATGTCATGCTCCTACTGTCCTGGAACAACACAGGAGGGAACTGATGCCCCCCCCCCCCCTCATCCTTACTATCGTCATTTTCCCTCTACTTCTTTTGTACGTTTGTCACTCTCTTGTGAACTGCTATTTCCAGGGTGCCTTGATAGTGGAAGTTGACTTTGTGCTGTTGAGGCTAGAGATGTGAGTAGAGTAAGCCCGATTCCCTGTTTGGACTTTTCTGAAGACATCCACCCCTTGTCGCTCGTATGACCTTATGCAGTTGCGAGCGCCGTAAAACCTTACGGAAAATATCAACTATTCATGCCGCCAAATGTTATGATAAGAAAAGAAGAAAAAATGATATGTGAGGCAGCGTGGTGGAATCAGGCTCTCGTCAAAATAATTAAAGAGAAGAAACTTGCATTTTTCCGCAGGTTTGTGAATTTTTATCAAATTTTAGTTTTTTGGCTCAGCACCTTTCGTGCCCATTAAAGAACTAATTTCGGTGTGGATTTTTCTTAAAAACGTTGATTAAAGGTACAAAAAATGTAAACTTTCAGTTACCAGGGACTCTTAAGCTAAGGAAATAACTAATCTTTGGCGGCCATTTTCTCATTAATTTTACCTCTGAAAACAGGTGACCCCCACCTGTTTCTTTCGCAAATATCTCGACTTGTATTCAAGATAAATGGATATTTCTTTCATACAAATAAACACAAGTGAACAACCTTTAAGATGATACCAATAACTTTACAAGCCCAAAGGTTGACGAGAGCCTGATTCCAGCACGCTGCCTCACATATTTGTTCGGGACCTGGGTTCATACTGTTCAGACTACATGATTATTTAAAAAATAATATTCTCTACATAAAAAAAATAATAATAGATAGCATTTGTATAGCGCATATCCCCGCTCAGCAGCAGGCTCTATGCGCTTTACACTATATTATTACCCCAGCAGACCATAGAACACTCCGAAACATTCTCAGCTTCCCGGGAAGCATACAGTGCGAGCAGCCGATTTAGCGCTCAAACACTAACAAACTGACAAGATCTTTCGCTGTATATAGCCGGGTACCCATTCCCACCTGGGTGAAGTGAGGAAAATTCGTGTAAAGTGCCTTTCCCAAGGACACAACGTCGGGCCCTTGACGGGATTCGAACCCACGAACTTACGGTTGCGAGTCCGAGAGCCTAACCACTAGGCCACCGATAGCTTGAATTTAGTAACCTAACAGTGTTGATAGGGTAAACCAATGGCATTTCACCATTTCACCGTTTGACTTTTCAGAAAAGTCTCTTGAACAATCTATTATGGATTCAGACACCACGACATGGGTCTTCATGCCTCCGAGTTCGGTAACCCTTGTTCTTTACTCCCAATTTATACTGAAATTTAAACAACAACAAAAAAACCCAACATCATCATAAACCTTCGTGTAGTAAACAAAAAAATTGAAAATAAAGACACGCAACAAATAATAATAATAAAACTCAGAGCATCATCAGCTACAGAAAGACTCATTAATTTTTTAAAACAATGGTCGATATTTCATAGTAGAGATAGCTGAAAGGGAGAAAATATTAACCACCCTGCTTTTTTTTCTTTTTTTCTTTTTTTCGGAGGGGGTATCACTCCAAATCCAGCTTTTGGCAAATGGGCAAGGGGATTTTATAGAATGTGTCTAGCTATTAGGCCCTTAAAGAGTTCAATATCAAGGAACTACTTTAAGCTATAAAGAAAACAGAAAGAACAAAACGACAACGGCTTATTTTCAAATCGGATGTGGCTCGATCCATTTGTGAATAAGTGACAGTTAGAAACGTCGTTTCTGTTCAGCTGCTTAGTTATACGTTTGCATTATAAAAGAAGCCAAAATTTTAATAGCAGGTCATTGGGGGTGAAGCCTCTATTAAGTTCCACCGTTTTAGCAGTAGCCAAATCATAGGCGTGGGATTTTGGGGTTGTTTTCTTTTTATGTTTTTTTTTTTCCCCATTTTGCCCCGAGATATCATGCTTCTCTTTGAGATATGTGAGGCAGCGTGGTGGAATCAGGCTCTCGTAAAAATAATCAAAGTGAAAAAAACTTGCATTTTTCCGCAAGTTTGTGAATTTTTATCTAATTTTTTTTTTTTGGCTCAACACCTTTCATGCCCATTAAAGAACTCATTTCGATGTCGATTGTTCTGAAAAAACGTTGATTAAAGGCACAACAAAGTAATTTTTCATCTACCACGGACTCTTAAGCTAACGAAATGATTAATCTTTGACCATCATTTTCTCACTAATTTTACCTCTGAAAATAGGTGACCCCCCATCTCTTTCATTCACAAAGATCTCAACTTGTATTCAAGATAAATGGATATTTTTTTTCATCCAAATAACGAAAAGTAAACAAGCTTTAAGATGATACCAATAACTCCACATGCCCAAAAATTGACCGGAGCCTGATTCCACCAAGCTGCCTCATGCTTCTCTTTGTCTGCAAGCGAACGTTCCAACGAGGTTATGGTAAAAAGTATTTCAATGAATCATTTTATGTAACCAGAACAAAATGAATTAATATGGCATGGATAAGCATAACATGAAATTGCAATAAAGGTCTGTACTAATTTTTGGGGAGTTCTCCTTTCTCGCCATTTAACATTTTATTCAGAAATATTATTTCCAGCCAAAAGAACCCGTGCTTCTCTGTACATATCGATGTGTTCCCGAAAGAATTCAGAAAGCAATATCTTTATAATTTTTGCTTTGTTTTGTTTTGTGTTTTTTTTGTTTTGTTTGTTTGGGGGATGTGTTTTTTTTTGGGGGGGGGGTGGGGGGGGGGAATATCATTTCATTGCGAAAGTCATAACATTAGATGGGACAGGAGCTGGTGTTTTGAAAAAAAAAAAAGACGTGGAAAGTATGGAGAGGGCAGGGGGGGGGGGGGGGAGGAGGGGGTGTATTGGTTTTCTTTCTTTTTGCTAATTGAGTCTCTTCACCATACCTTTCCCCTATGCTGAATCGCCACATTTAACGTGTTCCTCTAACCAACAAAATCAAACTAAATAATAGAACTAGATATAATAGCAGTTGTAATAATTATGACGATGTAAAGATTAATGATACTACTTACTTTACTTTATTTTTTTACTTTTCTCTTCCGCTTGTACCGGTGTGTGTCGCAGGGAGACACCTGCGTCTGTCTGCAACAAGGAGAATGGCCTGTAGGAGGGACATCTCGTCTTCCGAAATCTAAATGCAAAGCAAGGAGTTATTTTTCAGGAACCGGGCATTCCGTTCAGAACTACAATAACACTTTTCCTTGACATTTCTCGATATCATTTATTGGGTCACTAGAAAATGTTAACGTCTGAAGAAGAAGAAGAAGAAGAAGAAGAAGAAGAAGAAGAAGAAGAAGAAGAAGAAAAAGAAAAAGAAAAAGAAGAAGAAGAAGAAGAAGAAGAAGAAGAAGAAGATGAAGAAGAAGAAGAAGAAGATGAAGAAGAAAAAGATGAAAAAGACGACATCAACACAACATCAACAACAACAACAACAACAACAACAACAACAAAAAGAAGAAGAAAAACTCGAACAAGAGCGAGATGAAGAAGAACATTAACAAGAACAAGAACAATATGAACATGAACAAGATGAAGAAGAACAAAAGAAGGAGAAGAGAAGAAGAAGAAGAACATGAACAACAGCAAGAAGAAAGTAGCAAAAAGAAAAACAAACCCACAGCGGACCTCATCAGTGACGAAACCTTTCTCCTCTTGCCCGACAGCTAGCGTCTAATACTGTGGAAATATCAGACGGCCATCAGATTCTCCGCCGCTGCAGAACATTGCCCTGTTCTTCTGTTGTCTAGGGCTGGGCAATGAGTCGCTTTAGCAAAATCCGGATATTATATTAGTGCACCTCTTCGGCAAATAATATGATATGAACCGCTTCAGCAAATGGGTTAGAACCACTTCGACAAGCGTGTAGCATCATTTCAACAAATGGGTGCACCCACTTCGGCAAAGGGGGCAGGAAATGAGTTAAAACGTCTGAATTCGGATAATGTCTTATTGAGGTTTATCCTATTATCCGGATATTTATCCGGATTTTGCCAACCTGTACTTCAGTCCTCCGGAACACAAAGGTAATCCGACCTTGCTCTTTTCACAGCCTTCATCGAGAGGAAATGCTACACACGACGCCAGACCAGTTATTAAAAGACGAAAAAAAAACCCCAGAAAAACAAACGACAAACAACGAAAGCAGCAACAACAACCAAAAAAAAAAAAAAAAAAAAAAAAAACCCACACAAAAAGAAAA